TGGTTAAGAGACAAAAAAGGGGGCCCTTGGAGACTTTATCACTATCTGACTGAAGCTTGGGATTCTTTGGATGGATTGAATGTTAACTTAGTTTGGATTCCTAGGGAATACAATCATACTGCAGATGGCCTAGCTAAATTTGGTGTGTATTTGGAGCATCTGTATAGTGACAAGCTTCCTCCTTTGTAACTTGCAGGGGTTCCCTCCCTGTTTTGTATATCTCCTCTTGTTCCCCCCCCCCCCATTCTCAATAAATCTTGGTTAAATTTTCTCAAAAATTTTAAAGTTTCTAGTGATTTATTGACCTGGGTGGGTCATGAAAACTGGCTGGATCATTAAAATCTGGTCGGTTTTCAATGGTTCTATGGGATTTGATTGATTATACCGGTTTTTCAGAAATCTGAAAACTGGGGTATTAAAAGGCTTGAATGGCTTCTGGTTCCCAAGTTTTATGGTTTGATTGTCCAATCTGGTCTGACTCCTACAACACTTTTTGGAGGGGTGGATGCTTCAGGCTTTCAACAGCAGAGGAAGGAAGGTCTAGCAGCCTATCCCAGCTGCAATCCATGGAAAACTTGGAAGGAAAGAGGATGACTTTTTGAGGGCTGCAAGCCTGCAACTGAAACTATTTTTTGTTGGATATCTGCTATCTTCCCTGAGGCTTCATTATCTATCTTGTAGTTTTTTTCCTTATTTGTAATTAAGGGCCTGGTTAAGTGTATGTTGGTTTTTTGTCCTTCTAGTGGCCCTTGGTTGTATAGTTTCTCTTTCTTTGTACATGTTTTATGGTTTTATCACTTTGTAAATGTATTTTAGCTCATTAATGAATCTCTATATTTTTCTTGTTCTCAAAAGAAAATGTGGAAGAAAATTAACTCAAAGAAGAACTAAGACAAACTTTCAAATTACAACTTCGGAAAGAGATGGAAGTAAGAAGTAAAAAGATCAAATTAAGTTCCAAATTCTATATTCAAGATGACCTTTCTATTAGGTGCCATGTTGTCTTCTGGAAATCTCTCTTTAATTGTTTCTTCACTGTTTGCGAGTTCCTCATATGCCTATTTGGTAGATGAGGTTTCACATTACAAAAGATGTCAAAAGAATGGGAAAAGATATAAATTGTCAAATTATCACCTAATCACCTATATGAAGTTGATGTAAATAAAAGATAAATGGCAGAGGTTGGTTGCTCAGAGAGGGTGATAATTTTATTTTCAAGCTGACCTCTCCTATGATCTCCACTTTGGATTCTTGAGAGATTTCTTTAACTTCTGCTTCTCTGGTTGATTGCTCAGAGAGGGTGATAATGGTATCTTCTTCATCTTCCACCTGTTTTTTGAATTCCTCACTTGCATCAACTATCTTAAGTTGTTCAGACTCCTGCATGAGGGTTAAAAATTGAGGCTTCAATAGGAAGAAGAAAAGTGAAATAAGATAGGGAAGCTAAAGAGTTAATATGGTAATTCTTGAATTCTTATTCTTTTTAGACCTCTTTAGTCTTTTCTTCAAACTCATGCATCAAAGGGGAGACACTTTTATGCTTCTCACTGCTTTCTTTGTCTCTTGTTTCCTCTTTTGATTGTTCTGTAAGAGGAGATTCAGGGTTTTTGTTCAGTTCTTCCTTGTCCTTTAAGGTGACTGTATCTGTGCTTTCATCAGCTGCTGCATCTGATTCTTTGATTAGGAGCATAGTGGATACAAAATCACCGTCCCTCGCCTATTTAACATGTTGCAACTTAGTTACCATAAAAGGAATAGGAAAAATGAAGGGGAAAGATGAGAGCTTGTGATGCAAATTTACATTTGAACTAACCTCAACTGTTCCAACTCCAAGTGATATGAAGTCGAGTTCATTAGCAGCGCTTTCTTTGTCAGTAATATGTTTTTCAATATTCTCACTTGCATCAGCCATGTCTTCTCCTTGAATAACCTGCATAGCAAACGATTTTTTTTTATCAATAACTGTGAAATTTCATTAAGAATCAATAAGTACAAACGTCAGAGTTAAGGGGGAAGTAAAACCCCAGTTATGACAAATTAACCTCTTCATCTTCATTTGAAAGAATGTTTTTGATGGTGTCATTTGCTTTCCCTTTTTCTTCGGTGTGCTCTTCTGTCTCCATTGTGGGTTCTTTCTCTTCAAGATTCATACTTTCTTTTTCATCCCCTTGGAATCTATGAGTAGCCATTTGATCTTCAATAGATGCAGTATTATTATGGCCCTTGGCATCCACAATATCTTCCTGAACTGTGGTCTCTTTCATTTCTAGGACTGTGGGACAACTTTGATCTTCATCCGTTGGTTCGGAGGCCTGTTGAAGCTTCTTAACTGAATCAAATTTTCTTGGATTCAGCTCTTCATTTGTGCTCTGCTTTCCCATATCTTCTAACTGCATTCCAAGGATGTCATCAGACATCTTGGTCACTCTTGTATTAGCATTGTCAGGGACTTCCAGGTTCTCATATTGGGCTTCATTTATTTCTGGAGTCTCGTCTTTTGTTTCCTCATTTCCTTCAATTGGTTTGAACTCCTGTTCTTGCAATGCTATCATAGAAGCTTCTTGAACATTTTCATTAGTTTTGTCATCTAAGGGCAATTTACTAGAATTGATCTCTGTTTCAATGGTCTTTTCATTCCTCTTGTCATCCAACTCTGATACTTCATTAGTTGTACCCACTGGCTTTTCAGACTTTGTTATCTTCTGTCCACATGCACCTTCATCCGGTTGTGAGGTTGCTTCTTTTGTCTCCTCTCTACTCCCTGTTGCGTCAATTTTTTGTTGTGCAAGTTCTAACTCCCCTTTAACCTATTGATAAGACAATTTCGAAATTAAAATTAAAACCAAAACCAAAACCAAAACTTTATAGTAAAGTCAAAGATGAAGTTCTAATTTATTTTCCAGTTGACCACTACATTGTGATTTCTTGTCTCCATTCCGTCTTCCTTGGAGGTTTCTTCAACAGTGCCATCTTTCTTTGCATTCTGCTTCTTAGAGTTCTTTTCTGCACCATCTGTGTTAAGTTCCCCAGTCATCTGAATAATGGATGATGCTTGAACCTAGCAGTGATGAATGAAAGAAAAAGAGGGATGAAAAGAGGATGTCCCAATTAATCATGGAGAAACAATAGAGTTAAAAAAAATGGAAATTAAGCATCTGATATCATATTCAAGCTGACCTTGTCTCCCTCACATATATCTTTAATAGAGGCAATAGAGTGGCCCTTAAAGGTACTATGTCCCTCAACTGTTCTTTCCTCTGTGTTCTCACCATTATTGGTTGTTACTGTTACCTCTTGTACCTGTTCAACAAATAGAATTTCAACTTGACGAAAAGATAAGTAGAAGAAAATAAGCTCAATGAAGAACTTGGACATAAAATTTCAAATTACTACTTAGGAGAGAGATGGAAGTAAGAAGGAAAACTGTCAAATTAAGTTTCATATTGTATGATCAAGATGACCTCTCCATGTAGCACCATTTTGTGTTCTGAAAAGCTCTCTTTAGCTGTTTCTTCACTGCTTGCAAGTTCCTCATGGGCCTCCTATTTGGTAGATGAAATTTCATATCAATAAATGATGTCAAAAGTAAGGGAAGACGACATAAATTTTCAGAATATCACCTAGACAAAGTTGATATAAGAAATAAAACGTCAGAGGTTATGTTTCATATGTTATTTTCAGGCAGACCTTTCCTATGTTGCCCTTTTGGGCTTCCTGAGAGATTTCTTCAATTACTTCTTCTCCATTGGATTCCCTGGAGAGGGTAATAGTAAGGCCTTCTTTATCTATTACCTGTTCTTCAATTTCCTCACTTGCATCAACCATCTTAAGTTGTTCATACTCCTGTATGAAGATTGAAATTTGAACCTTCAACTTGAAACACAAAAGTGAAAGAAGAGATAGAAGAATTAAAATGGGATTTGTTGAATTCCTATTCTTGTGACACCTCTTTAACCTTTTTTTCAGACTCCTCAGACGCCCAAGAGCTGACATTCATGTTCTTCTCATTACTTTCTTTTTCTCTTTTTTCTTCTTTTGGTGGCTTTGTAAGAATAGAAGATTTGGAGTCTTTGCTCAGTTTTTCCTCATCCTTAAAGGTCGTTGTGTCTGTGCTGTAATCAGCAGCTGCTTCTGAATCTTTGATTATGACCTTAGTTGATAAAAGATCACAGTTGCTCACCTATTTAACATGTTGCAACTTAGTAATCATAAAAAGAATGGGGAAAAAAGAAGGGGAAAGATGAGAGCTTCTGCTGCAATATTTATATTTGATCTGACCTCAAGTGTTTCATCTCCAAGTGATATGGAATCGAGTTTCTTAGCAGTGTCCTCTTCCTCCATATTCTGTTTTTCATTATTCTCTCTTGCATAGACTTTGTCTTCTCCTCGAGCCACCTGCATAACAGACAAGTTTTCAACATAACAAACTAATCATTGAAAAAGGGGGAAACAAAACCTTTAAGTTTGACCATCTGACCTCTTCATCTTCATCTGAAAGAATTTTCTTGTTAGTCTCATTTGCATTCTCTGGTATCTTGGTCATATCTTCTGTCTCCAAAATGGGTCCTTTGTCTTCAAGATTCATGTTTTCTTTTTCTTCTCCTTGAAAGCTTTGAGGAACTATTTGATCTTCAATAAATGCAGTATTGTGGTCCCTGGCAATCAGATTATCTTCCTGAATTTTGGTCTGTTTGGTTTCAGGGACTTTGACATGACTTGCATCTTCAGATATTGATTCAGGGACCTGTTCAATCTTCTCACCTGAGTCAACATCTCCAGGAGTATTCTCTTCATTTGAACTCTTGTTCCTTGTATTTTCAGACTGCATTTCAAGGATGTCCTCTGACATGTTGGGCCCTATCATGTTAGCATTGAATGGGCTTTCGAGATTCTCATCTTGGGCTTTATTAATTTTTGGAGTCTCATCTTTTCTTTTCTCGCTTCTTTCAATTGGTTTGAGCTCCTGTTGTTCTGGTGCCAGTGTAGGAATTTCTTGAACATTTTCATCTGTTTTGTCCTCTAATTGAGGTTTACCAAAATGTATCTCTGTTTCTTTGGTTGTTTCGATACCCTTGTCTTGAAATCCTGGTTGTGTATTTGTTGCTTCCATTACTGTTTCACACTTTTTTATGTTCTGCCCACCTGCACCCTCATCTAGTTGTCCTGCTCCAAGAATCTCCATCACATTCTTGCCTAAATTGGACATATCTCTAACTTCCACATATTTGACTTCTAGACTTCCCATGCTAGTTGAATTCATCTCAGCTATTTCTGGAATATTCTCTTCAGAAGCAAGACTATAAACAACTCCCAGATTCCCTTCTTCAGGTTCAACTTCCTGTGAGCTTGCTTCTTCTGTTTCCACTCTGCACCCTGTTTCTTCAATGTTCTGTTGTGCAAGTTCTAGCTCCTCTTTAACCTATTGACCAGATAATTTCTAGTTGGAATCAAAACTGAAACCAAAATGTTGATGCCAAAGACTAAGTTTAATTTTATTTTCTAGCTGACCCTTATATTGAGCTTTCCTGCTTCCATAGAGCCCTCTTCCTCTGCAATCTGCTTCTCAAACTGCATTCCTGCACTATTTGTGTCAAGTTCTTCAGACATATGCATATCGGATGGAGCTTCAACCTAGCACAAATGAATAAAGAGCAAAAGTGAGATGAAAAGAGAATGACATGATTAATATTGGGCAAACAATAGTTTAAAAGAAAAAAAATTAGAAATGATGCATTTATGCGTCTAATATCATATCCACACTTACCTTGTCTCCCTGACAGATCATTTTAACAGGGGCAGCAAAATGGTCTTTGATGTTGCTATTCCCCTCCACTACTCCTTCCTTTGTGTTCTCACCATTACTGGTTGTTACAAATCCCTCATTTACCTGTAATGAAATTTCAACTTAACGAAAAAACAGTAGAACAAAATAAACTCAAGAACTAGGACATGAATTTCCAAAATACCACTCAGAGAAGGAGATGGAAATAAGAAGGAAAGAAAGGTCAAATTAAGTTTCAAATTTGAACTTAATGAAAAAAAAACAATAGAAGAAAATAAACTCAAGGAAGAACTAGGAAATGAACTTCCAAACTATCACTTAGAGAAAGAGATGGAAGGTCAAAATAAGTTTCAAATTCTATAATCAAGCTAACCTGTCCACCAGGTGCAGTTTTTCCTTCTTTAATCTCTTTAACTTTTTCTTCACTGCTTGCATGTTCCTCATGTGCCTTTTTAACAGATGAAATTTCACATAACAAAAGATGTCAAAAGAATGGAAAAAGGACACAAATTTTCAAATTACTACCCATATGAAGTTCATGTAATAAAAAACACTTCAGAGATTGAATTTGAAATTTTATTTTAAAGCTGACCTCTTCTATGCTCTCTGGTTTGGCTTCTTGAGATGTTTCTTTAACTGCTTCTTCTCCAGTTGATTCAATGGAGAGTGTGATCAAAGCGCCTTCTTCATCTATCACCTGTTTTTTGTTTTCCTGACTTGCATCTACTATCTTAGGTTGTTCAAACTCCTGTATAAAAGTTAAAAGTTGAAGTTTTAGCTTGAAGCACAGAAGTGGAAGAAAGAAAGGGACGTGAAAGATTTAAGTTGGGAATTGTTGAACTTTTGTTCTGACGAGGCTTGTTTTTCAGACACCTCATATTGCCAAATAGGAAATATTCATGGTCTTCTTAGTACTTTCTTTTTCTATTGTTTCTTCTTTTAATGGTTCTTGAAGGAAAGAAGATTCAGGGTTCTTGCTCAGTTTTTCCTTAACTTTAAGGTCATTGTGTCCGTGTCATCATCAGCAGCTGCATCTGGTTCTTTGATTATGAGCTCAGTAGATACAAGATCACAGTTGGTCATTGTGTCCGTGACCTCAACTTTTTTATCTCCACATGATGTTATGTTGACTTCCTTAGTAGAATTATTGTCCTCCATATTCTGTTTTTCAATATTCTCACTGGCAACAGCTCTGCCTTCTCCCTGAGTGACCTGTATTACAGAAAGAATTTTGACATAACAAACAATTCAATGAGAGGGAGAAAATAAAACCTTTATGTTTGACCATCTGACCTCTTCATCTTCATTTGAGAGAATGTTCTGGATGGTCTCATCTGTGTTATCTGTTTTCTTGGTGTGATCTGTCTCCAATGTGAATCCTTTCTCTTCAAGATTCATACTTTCTCTTTCATCTCCTTGAAAGCTTTGAGTAACCATTTCATCCTCAACAGGTGCAGTATCATGGTCCTTGTCAACTATAATATCTTCCTGAATTTTGGTCAATTTGGTTTCAGGGATTGTGACATGACTTAGATTTTGAGCCACTGTTTTGGAGGCCTGTTCAAGCTTCTCACCGGAATCAACATCTCCATGATTCTTTTCTTCACTTAAGTTCTCCTTTCTTACATCTTCAGACTTCATTTCAAGGATATCCTCAGACATCTTGCTCTCTGTCATGTTACCACTGTAAGGGTTTTCCAGGTTCTCATCTTGAGCTTTATTTATCTTTGGAGTCTCATCTTTTATATCATCACTTCTTTCAATTGGGTTGAGCTCCTGTTCTTGTGATGCCAGTGTAGAAGACTCATGAACATTTTCTTCTATTTTGTCATCTAAGGGAATTTTACCAGAAGTGACCTCTGTTTTACTAATCTCAGACTGCATTTGGACCTCTTGTGATGCCAGTGTAGAAGACTGCATTTTCTTCTTATCTTGCATTTTAGTTTCTACTGGAGCATCATCCTTTTCATCCTTGCCTGTTCCATTTGACTTGAGCTCCTTTTCTGTGGATAATAATGTATAATATCCATGAAGCTTCTCTTCCATTTTGTTCTCTAGTTGATCTCTACTCCTAGTAATCTCTGTATGAGTAGTTGTTTCAATGATCTGCTCTTCAAAACCTGGTACTGTATCAAAAGTTCCCATCTTCATTTTCTGTTCATCTTCATCTGTATTCACTTTTTCTGTTGTCTCAAGAATCCCCTTGTCTGTGTGCACACTTAAATTGATTGTGTTCTCCAGGTTCATGTGTTCAACACATAGACTTTGTAAGCTAGTTGAGTTCGTTTCAATTGCTGCTAGGTTTTTACCTTTGAAAGAAGAATCTAAAACACCTAGCATCTTGTGTTCATCTTCTTGCAATTTTGCCCCTTCTGTCACCACAGTCATGGTTGCTATGTCAAGGATTTTATCTTTGTTCTCTTCTTTCTCTAAATCTTCTTTAATATGCTCTTCGGACACAACAATCTTCTCGTTGCTGTCCAAATCCTCTTTCTTTTGTTTGTGCAGTATCTCTTCCTCATTTTTTGAAGGCTCCATCATTTCTATCTTCTCTCTGTAACTTGTTGCTCCAGTGTTCGTCTTTGTGGATACTTTTTCAAAGCCCTTAGCCTGTTTAAATCAGCTTGAAGTTAACAATTAATACAGAAAATAACATGAAACAGATCCTTTTCAGTAAAACATAAGAGAGATTTAAGATTCAAACTATATATCCTTCTTCTCTACTCCTTTGATATATGCATATATAGGTTCAAGCTTACTTTTTCATGTCTCTCAACCTCTATTTCGTCTTCCTGAAAGCTCTCTTTAGCTGTTTCTTCTCCAGGGGCCACTTTAGAGCTGTCTTCAACAGTGCCATCATTCTGTATAATCTCTTCTGTGTCCTCACCTGCACTCACTGTCTGTAGTACACCATACTTCTGCATAATAAATGAAATTTCAAATTGACAGAAAATAAGCACACATGAAGACATGTGCACAGAAATGCATACTTGGACTCATGCAAAAACACAGACATGAAGAGAAAGGATATGATGTTTGAATGAGATAATGTTCCAAACTAGAGTTGAATTAAATGGTCAAGTATCAAGGTTCTCATCTCTTATCCATGCTAACCTCATCTTTCTGATGGCTTTCTTTGACAGGTAATGTGGAGTGGTCCTTAACAGCACTACTTTCCTCAACAACCATTTTCTTGGTGGCTTCACCTTCACTGGTTGCAAATTCCTGATGTGCCTATTTGATGAATGAAATTTCAACCGAGGATGTCAAAAGGTTGTGAAAAAGACAAAAATTTCAAATTATTTTCTAAATTTATTTTCAAGCTGACCTCTCCTATTGTTTCCTTTTTCACTTCCTGAGAGATTTCTTTGGCTGCCTCATCCATTGATTCCATGGAGAGTGTGATAACAATGCCTTCTTCATCCATGACCTGTTGTCTGGTTTCCTCACTTGGATCAACATCAACCATCTTATGTTCTTCACACTCCTATATTAAAGTTAAAATTTGAATCTTCAACTTAAAAACAAAGTGAAAGAAAGGAGAACATAAAGAATTGTAATGGAAAAAGATGTATTCTTATTCTGATAAGACCTCTATTATCTTTTCTTCAGACTCCTCAGGCACCAAAGAGGAGACATTCATGTGCTTCTCACTGCTTTCTTTTTCTATTGTTTCTTCTTGTGGGAATTCCATAACAGAAGATTCAGGGTTTTTATTCAGTTCTTCCTCATCCATTGTCTGCATGCTGTCATCAGCAGTTCCATGTGATTCTTTGGTTATGAGCTTATTGGATGCAAGATCACAATCCCTCACCTATGTAACATGTTGCAACTTAGTCATCATAAAGGAATAGTAAAAAAAAGAAAGGAAACATGAAAGCTTGTGCTGCAATATTTACATTTGAGCTGACCTCAACTGTTTGATCTCCAAGTGATATTGTATTTAGTTCCATAGCAGTGTTCTCTTCATCTATAATGGGTTTTTCAGTGTTCTTACTTGCATCTGCTCTGTCTTCTTCTTGAGTCACCTGTATAACAGATAAATTTTCAACACAACAAAGAATTCAAAAGGGGGAAATAAAACCTGTATAACAGATAAGTTTTCTTCATTTTGTAATAAATGATACCTTACCAGTTCAGGAAAAAAAAAACTGACCTCTTCATCTTCATTTGAAGGAATGTTCCTGATGGCCTCATTTGTATTCTCTGTTTTCTCAGTGTGATCTTCTATGTCCATTTTGGCACCTTTGTCCTCAGAATTCCTGCTTCTTTTTTCATCTTCTTGAAAGCTTTGAGTAACCATTTGCTCTTCGACAGATGCAGTATTATGGTCCTTTGCTGCCATATGATTTTCTTGAGTATTGGTGTCTTTAGTGTCAGGGATCATGATGTAACTTTGATCTTTAGTCACTGGATTAGAGGCCCCTTTAAGCATCTCACCTGAATCAACATCTCCAGGATTCTGCTCCAATATAGCCATAAAGTTCTCAACTTGATCACCTTCTTTTCCATCTTCCTCGATTATTTCATCAAGCTTTTTAATAGTTTCCTTCTCTTGCTCCAAGTCCTGGACATCCTTTTCAGTGTTTGAACATACACCAGGTTTTTCAAGATCTTCTGGCAATTTGACAAATGGATTCTGACCATATAATTTGTCCTCTGAGATTGCCTCCAAAATTTCCTCATGTTTCATTGCTTCTGGTTTGATATTTTTAGTGGGTTCTGTACATTTAGTTTTTTTGAACTCTTCATTTGGACTCATCTTTTTCACCTGGACATCCTTTTCACCTGTGTCTTCCTGGAGCTCTTCATTTGAACTCTCCTTCCCAATATCTTCAGAATGTATTTCCAGAATGACCTCAGAAACTTTGGTCTCTATTGTGCTTTCATTGAAAGGAGTTTCCACATTCTTGCTCTGGGCTTCATTTATTGTTGGATTCTCATCCTTTGTATCCCCACTTCTTTCAATTGATTTGAACTCCCATTCTTGTGATGCCAGTGCAGAAGATTCTTGAACATTCTCTTCTATTTTTTCATCTAAGGGAGCTTTACCATAATTAATCTCTTTTTCACTAGTTGTTTTAATACCTTCGGACTGCATTTGATGGACTTCCTCAAGCATTTTCAACTCCTCTTTCCTTGTGGACATCTCTTCCATAGTGCTGGAAAATAAAGAGTTTTCCGGGTTTTTATCTTGGGTTTCATTTTCTATTGGATCCTCATCTTTTATATCCTTGCTTGTTTCAATTGACTTGAACTCCTTTCCTTTGGTTGATGATGTAGAAGATTCATGAAGCCTCTCTTCCCATTTGTCATCTAAGGGAAATTTAGCAGCAATCTTTTCTGTTTGAATGGTTATTTCAATAACCTGGATTTCAAAACTTGGTACTGTATCAGAAGCTCTCACCTGCATTTCATACTTAATTCTCTGTTCGCATTCATCTGTTTCCAGTTTTTCAGATGCTTCTAGAATCTCCTTGCCTGCATTCACATTTAAATTGGCTTTCTTCTCCAGGTTCACATGTTCAACATGTAGGCTCTGCAAGCTACTTGATTTTGTTTCAATTGTTATTCTATTTTTATCTTCAGAATCAGAGTCAGAAGCACCTTGTATATATCCTTGTTCAGCTTCCTGCAATCTTGACCCTTCTGTCACCGCAGCAATAGTTTCTGTATTGAGTTGTTTACTTGTGTTCTCTTCTTTCTCTAAATCCACTTTGATTTTCTCCCCACACAAGACAAGCTTCTCTTTGCTCTCCAAATACTCTCTCTTTTGTTTCTGCAGTATTTCTTCCTCATTGATTGAAGTTGTCATCATCTCTATCTCCTCTGTATGACTTGTTATTTCAATGTTATGCTCTGTGGAAACTAATTCAATTTCTTGAACCTGTTGAAAAATCAGATTCAAGATAATAATTAGTAGTAAGAGATTGAAATTCAAACTTTATATCTTCTCTTCCTCTTCTTTGATATATGTATGTGTGGATTCAAGCTTACATTTTCAGGTTTCTTGGCCTCTTTTTCCTCTTCTTGAAAGCTCTCTTTAGCTGTGTCTTCTTCTATGGGTACTTCAGAGCTGTTTTCAGTGATGCTATCGTTCTCTGTGATCTGTTTTTCTTTGACCTCACCCTCACTGTCTGTCCATAGTATCCCATGTTTCTGTATAATAAATGAAATTTCAAATTGACAAAAAACCAAAAGGTACAAATTCACAAACATGAACATTAAAACACACACACAAACAACATGGATATGATATTTGAACGAGATAACGGTCAAATTATTATATAAAATAAAACATAGTTGAGTGAAAAGGTCAAATTATGAAACTTCCAATCTCTTATTCAAGCTAACCTCATCTTCCTGAGAGCTTTCTTTAGAAGTTACTATGGAGTGGTCCTCAACCGCACTACTTAACTCAACAATCATTTTCTTGGTGGTCTCACCTTCACTGGTTGCAAGTTCCTCATGTGCCTATTTAACAAATGAAGTTTCAACTCAACAAAAGATGTCAAAAGAAAGGGAAAAGGCATAAATTACAACTTAAATGAAGTTGAAATAAAAAAAAAAATTTAATGTCAGATTAAGTATCAAGCTAACCTCTCCTATGGTCTCTTTGGCTTCCTGAGAGATTTCTTCAACTGCTTCTTCTTTAGTTGATTCCATGGAGAGGGTGATAGCAATGCCTTCTTCATCTATGACCTGTTTTTTTGATTCCTCACTTGCATCAACTATCTTAGGTTGTTCAAACCCCTGTATGAATGTTAGAATTTGAAGCTTAAGCTCAAAGCCAAAAAAGGAAAGGAAAATGGGAAAAGAAAGAATTAAGTGGGAATTATTGAATTCTTATTCTCATGAAACCTCTCTAATTATGTCTTCAGACACCTCAGACACCAAAAAAGGGATGTTCATTTGCTTCTCACTACTTTCTGTTTCTCCTGTTTCTTCTTTTGATGGTTCTATTAGAGGTGAAGATTCAAGGTTCTTGTTCAGTACTTTGCCATTTAAGGTCATTGCATCTATGCTGTCATCAGTAACTGCATCGGATTCTTTGATTATGAGCTTAGTCAATGCAAGATCAAAGTCCATCACCTATTTAACATGTTAGAGATCAGTGATCAAAAAAAGGAATAGGAAAGGAGGGGAAACATGAGAGCTTGTGCTGCAGTATTTACATTTGAGCTGGCTTCAACTATTTCATTTCCATGTGATCTTGAGTTGATTTCCTTGGTAGCATCTTCTTCCTCTTTAATATGTTTTTCAATACTTTCACATGCATCAGTTCTGTGTTCTCCTTGACTAACCTGTATAACAGACAATTTTCAATATAACAAACAAAGTATTGAAAAAGGTAAAAATTAAAACCTTAGAAGTTTGTCCTTCTGACCTCTTCATCTTTATTTGAAAGAATGTTCTTGATGGTCTCCTTTGCATTCTTTGTTTTCTCATTGTGATCTTCTGTCTCTAATTTGGGCCTTTTGTCCTCAAGATTCATGCTTTCTTTTTCATCTTCTTGAAAGCTTTGAGTAAATGCTTGATCTTCAATAGGTGCAGTAGTATTAAGGTCCTTGTCAGTCATATTATCTTCCTGAATTTTGGTCTCTTTGGTTTCTAGGACTGTGACATGTCTTTGATCTTTGGTCACTGATTTGGAGGCTCCTTCAAGCTTCTCTATCGGATCAATATTTCCAGGATTCTGCTCCAATGTAGCTGAGACATTGTCAACCTCATCACCTTCTTTTCCTTCTTCATGGATGCTTTCATCAAGTTCTTTAATAGTTGCCTTCTCTTGTTCCATGTTTAATACATCCTTTCCAATGTTTGCACATACACCAGGTTTTTGATGATCTGTGGACAATTCAACAAATGGCTCCTCATCATCTAATTTGTCCTGCGAGTTTGCCTCCAAAATTTCCTCATTTTTCAAAATTTCTGGTTTGATATTCTCAGTTGTCTTTGTACATTCAGTAGTTCTTTCCCTCTCTATGGTTGTTTCATCTTTCAATTCAATGATATAATTTTCATCATCTTCTTGGAGCTCTTCCTTTGGACTCTCCTTCCCAACATTTTCAGATTGCATTTCACGAATGTCCTCTGACATCTTGGCTTCTTCCATGCTTGCATTTAAAGGGGTTTCCAGGTTCTCACCTTGAGCTTCAATTATTGTTGAAATCTCATCTTCTGTATCCTTGCTTTTAATTGATTTCAGTTCCTGTTCTTGTGATGCCAGTGTTGAAGGTCCATGATCATTTTCTTCTACTTTGTCATCTATGGGAGCTTTACCATAAGTAATTTCTTCTTCACTAGTTGTTTTGGTACCCAGGTCTTCAAGTCCTGAAACTGTATCAGTTGCTCCCACTGGTATTTCACACTTAATTCTATTCTGTTCACCTTCACCTTTATTTAGTTCTGCTCCACAAATCTCCTCACACACATTTTCACCTATGTTGGAGGTTTCCTTAATTTTCACATAATTGACTCGTGGACTTTCTGAGCTAGTTGAATTCATCTCATCTGTAACTAGAATCTTCTCACTTGGAGCAAGATTGCAAGCACCTTCCAACTTTTCTTCAGGGTTTTCTGCATTCTGTAATTCCTCCTTAAGTGGCTCTTCAGACCCCACATGATTGCTATTTTTTTCTTTCTTTAGTGTTTCCATTTCTGTAACACAAGAAGTATTAGGCTTATTATTTGGGTTCCCTTCATTTTTTGAAGTCATCATTTCTGTCTCCTTTATGCAACCTGTTGCTTCAAAGTTCTGTTCTGTGGGTTCTAAGCCATAGTCTTTAACCTATTAACCAGATAATGTCAAGTGGAAGTTAAAACAGAAACTAAATGGAACTATGGAAGAATGAAGTCATAGATTAAGCTTCAATTTTATTTTCAATCTGACCTCTGCATTTAGTTTGCTTACCTCCATTTCATCTTCCCAAGAACTTTCTCTAACTGCTTCTTCAGTAGATACCTTGGAAGTGTCCTCAACAGTGCTATCTTCCTCTGCAATCTGCTCCTCATAGTGCTTTCCCAAACTATCCATGCCAAGTTCCCCAGACATCTGCATAATAGATGAAGCTTGAATAAGTAAAGATGAATAAGAGCAAAAGAGAGATGCAAATTGAATGTTATGATTAATGTTAATTGTTGAGTTGGGCCAATTTCTAGTTATTGGGCCCAGTTGTTTTGTTCTTATTTTAAGTTGTTAAGTTAGGAAGTTGTTGGGCTTTAGGCCCATTAGCTTATGTGTTTTAAGTTGTGACTGTTCAGCTACTTTAGTAGCTGCCCTACTAAGGGTTTTCTTGTAATCTTTCATTCTTTTAAGTATAAAATATAATGAGGGGTTGGCGGCCAGAACTAATTCAATTCTGGTTATCATCCCACTCTTTCTTTCCTCTCTTTTCTTCTCTACTGCTGAAACTCTTCATCTTCTTCTTCTTTCTCTTCACAAGGAATTCGTCCTGATTTACACACAGTGATTTCTACTTTAATGAAGAACATAATTTAGAGAAAAGTTAGCAATTAACTTCAAATATCATATTCAAGCTTACCTTGCCCCCCTTTACAAGAGCAGCAGAATGGTCCTTAACAGTGTTATTCTCCTCCATTATCGCTTCCTTTGTGTTCTTACCACCACTAGTTGTTCCAGGTCCCTCATTTACCTGCTTAACAAATGCAACTTCAACCTAACAAAAAACAGTAGAAGAAAATAAACTCAAAGAAGTAGAAAATAGACTTTCAGTTTACAACTTAGAGAGATTAAGTAAGAAAGAAAAGGTCATATTAAATTTTAAATTTTATACTCAAGTGACCTCTTCACTGGGCTCCTTTTTGTCTTCTGTAGAGCTCTCTGTAACTGTTTCTTCCCTGGTAAATTCCATCAAGAGGTCCTTAAAAGTGCCTTCTTCATTTATGACCTGTTGCTCGGTGCCATCTGGACCAACTTTCTTAGGTTGCTCAGGCACCTGTATGAAATTTGAAGAAATAGTTCAAGATTATGTACAAGTCCAGAAGAAAAAAAAAAAGGAATAAAAAATAAAATTACTCAGTTCTGATCGGACCTCTCCATTTATGACTGCATGCTCAATAGTCTCAGCATCATCTGTTTTGTAATTCTGATCTGCACCATTCATATCACGGTGTGATTTCGCCAGACTGTTGTCTTCGTATTCTTGGCCATAATAGTCAACTGTTTCGTTTCTAACAAATATAGTACTTTGCTTTGTAGTGGAACCATCCACCTCAATTCTCTTCTCAATTATCTTGCCTGAACCAAATGTTTCAAGACAGTCATAAACCTGGATGGAGGGTTTCTTATCTCTTTTTTTTTTTTTCTATTTCCTTCTTTCCACATTGATAAAATTCCTTTTTATGTGTATTATCAATTTAGTTTCTATTATCCAAGTATCATAAGTAATACATTTTATGGAATGTTAGGGCATGATATATATGTTAGTGGTGATCAAGAACCAACATCTAAATCATAATTGAGCAGGTCAAATAGGGTGAGATGATCATGATTATCTAATCTACAGATTTCTTCCTTAAATAATCTAATTGATTGTGGGCTAGATTTCATAGTTTTGAACATCAGATCAATTTGACCATTGAAGAGGAAACTTTCAATTAGGGACCCGATGTATTATGGTCCTGATCCACCTGGCCAATGCACCATATTCCAGAAATCCCCACTTGTGAGGATAATTTTCATGTAGAATTCTTACACTCTTTCACAAATATAGTGCTTAATCAGTATCCTTTCCATGCAGCATACCGTTATGTGTTAGTTTTCATATGGCATTATCATATTAATACTAGATGCCACCTTTGAATGCAGTTCACTTGAATAATTTTGTTTTTGTTACTACTAAAGTGAGATTTATAATAAAGAGCATTGGAAAAATTTTCAAGCCACTCACATTCTGTTTCAATTTTATGCAAGCCTATCCCAGAAGTTCCTTGCTTTGCCATCTCTACTTCCATGTTATCACTGGTATCCTTGACCTCCAGTTTCTCCTCAATGTGCAATGCACCAGATTTTTCAGGTTCTTGAACTTCCAATCCACTTGTTTGTAAGTTCAAACCCACTGCCAGCATCCTGTCTGCAATTTCCTCCTGTTCTGAAATTGTTTCCTTCATGCTTTTCCTCTGTGCTTCAATGTGCTTTTCTTGAGGAGCTACATTTTCTTGACAAACTTGTTTCCCTGAATCAAGATTGGGGACTTCATGACTTGATTCTGCGTTTTCTTTAATCAATAGATGTGTAATAGATGAATTATCCACATTCTCTCTTCTTCTCTCTATTTCTGGGCATCCAGTCTTCCCAGTTGGATCAACTGACTCCAGATTCTGCATCATTGGTTCTATATCAGTAGAAGCTAAAGCACACCAAAGGAGAGAGAGAGAGAGAGAGAGAGAGAGAGAGAGAACAAAAGACAATAACTATCATATTCAGTGATGGAAAGGACAAAGGAAAGTAAGAAATATGTAAAAAAAAAAATTAAGTTCTTATTTAATTCTACTGAGACAAGATCAACCTTTTCTAATTCTGGAATGTCATGCTTATCTTCCTCAGCAACACTTTGATCTTTCTGCAGTTGTATTCCATTCTCCAACCCTTCCTTTCCTATCAGTTCTTCATCAGTCTCACCAATGTCAGATGCTCTGCAGGTTTCTTTTGAAGCAACCTTGGGAAGTGAGGGTGATACCAAAAAACTTTCACCCTCAGGAAGACCAAAATTGCCTTCAATACTGGGACTCATAAGTTCATTCTTATCATTCGGAGCTGCTTCCGAGTCTTCCATGGTTGTGGAGTTTCCAACAATCTCAGATAGTGTGACAAGACCACCTTCAACTTTCTGCAGTTTTCCTAAGGAAGATTCATGTACAGTTGTTTCAAGATGGCCACTTTTCAGCTCTTTGGTTTCCCCTTCTATTTTCTGCAACAAAGAAGATTTAAGTACAGATACAAGATTAAGGAAATTAGAAACCTGACCTTTGGATAAACACCATTTAATATTGCACAAGTTATAAACAAAAGACTGAAGTATCAAGTAACTTTTTACTATGTTCTGGACAAACCACAACTTCCATAATTTCTGGTTTGTAGCATATAAATTGTAAAGGTTACAGCTACTCCTGATTTCTTGGACTCTCACATACTCAAATTTTAGTGATAAATATTTAATCAATTATTTTGACTTAAAATTTCTCATCCTGACAAAAGCTAACTGTACATCCATAAATGCATGCACACACCTACACACATAAATAAATAAATAAATAAATAAATAATAGGAGTAGAATAGCATGGTCAATCCAGACTTTCTATCAGCTATGATCCCTTACTCACCTTGTATTTGAGTGTCTCTAGTGTGTTAGCTATCCAATTTTTCATTTTTTTGTTTGAATTTAATCAGTGCCCATAAAGGAAGGTTAATTTTGAGCACAGAAAAAAGGGCTTTTGGGATGAAACATGTTCCCATGAATTTAAACCAGATATTATAACATGCTGGGTACTTTTGGACCCCCCAGCCATGTTGCCACATTGAGGATTACTAGGTTGGTTGGCCTTCTCTGAACAGACACATCCCTACATAGTAATGGTGAGGTACATGTCACAAGGACTTTTAGTGGTTTTGGTGCTTGCATTAAGAGGGGAAAGAGATAAGTGCAAAAATTGGATGGTACAATCTGAAAGGAGAAAACTTCAATGCTATAAGACAAATTGATAAGTAAAGGAATATACTTGGGAGGAATAAATCAATTCTATATAACATGAGATGATAGGTATATATGCAAGATAAGAGAAAGAGGTCATTAAAGAAACTATAGAAGGCAATCATTTAAATGTGCTTGGTAATGGAGTGACAAAGTTCAAAATCCTAGAAATAACAGGTTTAGTACAAGGCTTCCCAAGGATGATAAACAACAAGCTTAGAAAGATAATAAGAAATGTTAAAAAGGAAGCTAAGAAAATGTTGTGAAGGAGGTGAGTGATTTCGAAAGCAAACAATGAATAGATGAGATGGAAATGACAAATAAAAATAATAAGAACAGGAAACAAACACACTTTAATGTTGAAAGCCCTTCTAAAAAACTTGAAGGGAAAAACCAAAGGACACTAGTCTAGGAAACTTCCACTATCTCTTACAATAGTGGGATTACAACCTCTTTGGTCTCTATTAGAGAATAACATATCAAGAGGATGAACTCTTCTCCTCTTTTGCAGAGGATGGCCTTGGTGTTCACTCATCACACCGCTTACAAGTGGCTGATACAAACTTGCTTACTACTCTAAATGAATGAAGCAACACAAATAAATAGATGAGAGTATGGTCGATCTTCCAATGCTTCAATCATTGAAGATGCTCAGAATAATTAATCATCTGGTCACAGAGTCACAGGGTCCTTGAAATACCAAGGATCATGGGCTTGCAGAATACCAAGAGGCACGAGGTCGAGGAGCCACCATCCATGAGGCCCAATGAAGAAAACAATGTCAAGAGGGTGAGGCCGGCTTGCGAAGACAAAGGGGAAAATCGTAAGACCGGATGCTGCATGAGGCCAAGGTCCAAGGGGTGACAAGGTGGAGTTGGAAAGACTGTCATCTGAGGAGCCACAGAGGGTCACCTAGCCATGGGAGCTTAGTGAGGCTGCGGATTTGCAGGGATGGAGGTCACAATCCTGTGAGGTCACAAGGCTGCCATTCCATGAGGCTATGAGGCTAAGAATAACCAACTCATCCTCATGAAGAGGGAAAACCCAATAGAAAACAAGCAAGACTAAGGTTATGACATGCTTCAACTTAAATTGGACTCAAGATATAAATGCAAATGAACTTAAAAGGATGAAATAAAGAAAAGAGAAAAAATGTTGACCTTATGTAATGTGCATCAAGTGAAAGGATCAGAGAGCCTTTTTGATGTTTAATGAAATAGTGGCAACACCTATTGGAGTGGTCAAAATCTAGAGATTTCACAGTCAAATCCTTCTACAGTTTTCTTGTGGGAAGGTCTGAAGTCCCTTTTCCCAGTCAAGCCATTTGGGGGAATTTGGCTTCTCCAAAAGTCTTTTTTTATGGGTGGCAGCTCTGGAGAGGTGTTTGCCCAAAGAAATGCTGCTGAAAAAAGGTCTTTGTAGAGAGATTGGGCCGAATGGGCCCTAGTGTCTATTTTATGTTTTAGTAGTAGGTTATTTATTTTGTATGCTAATGGGCATGTTAACTTCTTTTAAGTTATTTTAAGTTTATGCTTAGCTGGACACCCCACTTAAGGAAATTTTGGACAGTGTTACAGAAACATATTCACAAAAGTGGAATGTGGCAAGAGTCTATAAGCTAAAAAGTGATGTGAAAAATCTGAGACAAGGGGAGAAGAGTGTAGCGATCTACTATTCCATGCTGAAATCACTATGGCAGGAAATTGATGTTATGGAGACAGTTGTTTGGGAGAGTACTAATGATGTAGAGACTCTTAGGAAACTGGTGGAACGAAACAGGGTGTTTAAGTTTCTTACAGGACTCAACCCTAAGTTTAACATTACTAGACAGAATATTCTGGCGAAGGATGAGGTCACTCTTGCTTAGGCATATGCTATGGTAAGTAGTGAAGAGAGTAGGCGACAGGTGCAGTTACATAGTCCACCTACAGAACATTTTGCACATGCTGGAATAAAGCTGAAAGGTCCAACCGGGAAGAAGTGATATGTGAATACTGCAAGAAACCAAGGCATACTAAGTGTTCATAATCATCAGAGACACAAATTTGAGCCTAAGGCACATAAGTGTCTCGTTCTAGGATATGCCTCCACACAAAAGGGACATTGTTGTTTTAATCCGGTTCATGGCACCCGCTTTGTCTCTAGGGATGCCACATTTACAGAGTCCATTCCTTTCTTTGGTATTTCTCTTGAGGGGGAGCATCCTGTGGAGCCATTTGCTATGTCTCCAACTGTTCCTCTTCCAGTTCCTTTTGAGTCATCTTCTTCTGATGCCTCCCCTTCCACTATGTCTCCGCCACATGTTCCTGCTCGCCCTCCTCCTCCAGCTCATCCTCCTACATTTCCTTCACATCATGTGCTCCAAAGGTCGTACCAACGGCAAAGACTCAAGCATGGGCAAGTTGTTTCCACTTCTTCCGCAAAGCCTCTTGCACCTCCCAGCACTACTAAGGTAATAGGTCAGCCCTCCTCTGACCCACCTACCTTTCCAGACCTTGGCCTTTCTATTATCCTTCGAAAAGAAAAGCGGAAGTGCACATCACATTGTATCTCCAAACACATGTCCCATAGACTTCTATCCCCTACCTATTACTCTTTTCTTGCCTCTGTTTCTACCCATGTGATTCTCAAGTCTGTACCAAAAGTTTTGTCCAAACTTGAATGGAGGGATGCTATGATGGCTGAACTTGATGCTTTGCATAAGAACCATACCTGGGATATTGTGGATTTGCCCAAAGGGAAGGAATTAGTGGGTTGTAAATGGGTGTTCACCATTAAGTACCATTGTGATGGCACTATTGAGAGGTTTAAGGCTCGATTGGTTGCTAAAGGCTACACTCAGATGTATGATATTGACTACCTTGAGACTTGTGCTCCTATGGCCAAGATGACTTCAGTTCGAGTTTTGTTGTCTCTAGTTGCTACTTTTGATTGGTCCCTTCACCAGTTTGATGTTAAAAATGCCTTTTTGAATGGAGACCTCCATGAAGAGGTCTCTATGTCTTTACCTCCAGAGGTGTATGGAAAGGAAATGCAAGGGAGGTGTGTAAGCTGCAGAAATCTATTTATGGTCTCAAACAGTCTCCTCGAGCTTGGTTTGAGATATTCTGAGCTGTTCTTGTATCCTTTGGTTACACACAAACCCAATCTAACCATACTTTGTTTCTAAAAAGAAGTAACTCTTTGGTGACTTTTCTAATTGTTTATGTTGATGACATTATGGTCACGGGTAATGACACCGAAGAAGTGATTAAGCTCAAAAGATTTCTTAACTCTGAATTTGAATCAAGGATTTAGGGGATCTCAGATATTTCTTGGGAATTGAAGTTTCTAGATCCAAGAATGGTATCTTCATTTCTCAATGCAAGTATGTTCTTTACCTCCTTGTAGAGACTGGTAAACTTGATGCTAAACCAGCTTCCACCCCTATAGATCCCAATCATAAGCTCTCCGCCACTGATGGTGAATTGTTGCCTAATAGGGGAGTGTTTCAGAGACTGCTTGGGAAATTGTTATATCTCTGCATGACTCGGCCAGATATTTCCTATGTAATGAGTATTATTAGTCAGTTTATGCATTCTCCCAAAGACACATTTAGTTGTTGCAGAAAAAGTTGTGTTATTTGAAAGGCACTCCAGGGAAAGGTATTCCTTTTGCCAAACATGGACACACAAAGTTGGAAGCATACACTGATGCTGATTGGGTTGGATGTATTGATGATAGGAGATCCACCTCAGGATATTGTGCTTTAGTGGCGAGGAACATTGTCTCATGGAGGAGTAAGAAACAGTCTGTAGTAGCCAAATCCTCGGCTGAAGCAGAATACATGGCAATGGTACATGGAGTATCAGAATTATTGTGGCTAAGATCACTTCTGGAAGAATTGGGTGTTGACTATGAAAAGATAATGATGCTCTACTGTGACAACCAAACTACTATCAACATTGCACATAATCCTGTTCAACATGACAAAACTAAGCACATWGAGGTTGATAGACATTTTATACGGGAAAGAGTTGCTTCAGGAGAGGTTTACTTGCCATTTATTTCTTCAAAAGAGTAGTTGGTTGATGTCTTGACCAAAGGTGTTCCAAAAGGGAAGCTGACACACTATATAAGCAAGCTGGGAATGATTGATATCTATGCTCAGCTTGAGGGGGAGTGTAGAGAGACTAGGCCGAATGGGCCCTAGTGTCTATTTTATGTTTCAGTAGTAGGTTATTTATTTTGTATGCTAATGGGCCTGTTAACTTCTTTTAAGTTATTTTAAGTTTATGCTTAGCTGGATGCCCCACTTAAGGGCTGATTTGTAATTAACCACATTAGTGAAGATTAATAAAAGGATTAGTGAGGGGAGAGAGGTGATTATCGAACCCTCTTCTTCTTCCTCTTCTTCTCCATCCCCTTCTTCTATTCTGTTGTTTTCTTCTTCCTTTCTCACTTTTTACTTCTTTAATCAAGTTTCTTATCAGATTTAGAAGTCAGATTTACTTTTGTCCTAATTTTTCAGATTGGTGTTGTTTTTGCAATACGCAAATAGAATTCTTTGGGCATCTCTTCCTTCATTGCAAGTTTAGTTCTGTAGTTTGGTCACACTTCTTCAAATCCCTGAATCTAAGCCGGTGCATGCCAGCCTCAGTTAGAGCTCTGTTAGAGGAGTGGCATATCCAGGGGCTGTCTAAGAAAGGAAAGTTATGCTGGAATTCCATTCCTCCGGCAGTTCTGTGGGCTGTATGGTCAGAAAGGAACAATAGGATTTTTGAGAAAAAATCTGCTACTGAAGTTGGTTTTGAGAAGTTAGATGTCTATACATACTGTTTTTAGAGATAGTACTTCTGATTATACTTTTTTGAGGATGGCCTTCTTTTGAGGTCCTTCATTTTGTACAGCTTCTCATTGTACACAGGACCTTTGTCATGGTTAAATGTCATATATATTTGCTTCAGATTAGGGTGTTCAAAGTTAAAGAAGATTGAGAAGGATGAGAGATAATGCTTTAGAACTGAGCTATTGTATGGGAGAGGTTCTTGTAATTATAAAAGAAGTCCATATGGATGTCGGAAAAACACCATGAAGGCATGAAGCCAATGTACAAGAATAAAAGTAGCACCGATTATCATGGGATCAAGTTTGAGAACCAGAAGAAACTTTCAAGGGAGGGTGCCAAGGTAAGACATGAATTAGAGTATTTAAAAATCTTACCGGTTTTATGCCTATAAAACCTACTGAAGGTCTTCTTACTGGTATATGTTAATATGTTATTAACAAGATTATTGTGGAGGGCACATTGAAATGCTAGGGATATGAATATATGCTTTCCATCAAAAGATTTCAAGATAATGATGCTTACAAGAGAATATATTTGATGCAATTCTAGTAAAAGATTTCAAGATAATGTCAAGTGAACATGTTCTTTTTCTGGTTTATTTTTTTAATGATGTTTCTAAGACTAAGTTTGGGAGTGCTTATTCGAATAAGAACTTATTTCTGGGCTGGGACTACACCAATAACCACTAATTTGCGTTTGGGAAATTAGTGTTTGTTCTCAGAATAAGCACTTATTTGAGAAGCTCAAATTTTGGGCTTTTTTAAGTGCTTATTCAACAAGTACTTATTTCCTTTCTGACCTATCTTGGCCTGCCACATCATTTTGAAAATGCCTATACTGCCACAGTTTAAAATAAGTGTTTTTTCACCAAACACTCCTAAGCACTTATTAGACAAAACACTTGTTCAGTAAGGACTTGTTTTCAAATAAGAACTCCCAAACTTGGCCTAATAATCATGCTAAAACATTTTTTTTTCATCCGTCTTGTGGTCTGTCTTGCTAGAGGACAACAATTTACAATCTGAAGAAATGGGTACCTTGGGGGAAAAAAGGACTCTCTGTTAACGGGGGTCTTAGGAGGTGGACTGGATATAGACCTAACCTCCCGCATTTTAGCATGAATTGGCTTTTATGTTAGACTCAACCCTGCTTTCCCATGTTTATCAGCCCAAGATTTTATCATAGAACCAAAAGGTGGCCCCAGAAATACTTAGGGTTCGTTTTGTTTGCAGGAATAGGGGTTCGGAATCGGAATCAAAATAGGCTATTTCAATTCCAACTGTTTGGTTGAGCGGAATCGGAATCCCATTCTCATTCCTGCTGGATTTGAGGGAATGGCCATTCCCTGCCCCTCCCTTGGGAATGAAATCCTATTCCTGCTGATTTTAATTTCCATTCTCATTCCTGTCTGAACCAAACAGATTATGGGAATGGGCCATTCCGATTCCGATTCCGGAGGGTTTTGATTCCGATTCCGACTACGAACCAAACGGACCCTTAGATTTCCTTACTATTGTTAGACTTAACTATTTTTATCCTTTTCCACTATAAATCATATTTTAGATTTTTATAAATTTCATATGATCAATAAATTCCAATTGTGGTTGCTTTTTTTTATCAGGAAATCAGCGAGTTTCTTTTTTTTTTGTTCTTTTTGGTATGATGAGTTAAAATTCATGATCCATGGAATAAGTTCGGACTAGAAAGAAATATTCAACCAGTAAGGAAGAATAACTGGTCAGTGAATTTATTTCCCAGCTTTAATTCTCACATTGATATCTTCCATAGCAAAAAAAAAAAAACAGTTTTGAATCATTTGATACATCACATTATAAATGGATTCTAGATGAATCACCTATTAAAGAAAACTAGACAACTAAGTAATTTGAGTTAAGCAGCTTAGGTGGCAAGCTCCAAGGGTTCCACAAGTTCACCATTCAATCTTCCTATTCATTGGGAGATTTGCAGCCCAATGCTCCACACCTCCACCACCATGCAAAACAGTCCCTATGCCATGCATTTTAACTAGAAGAGTTCATATATACTCTAATTACTGTTTTAAGAAAACAACCACTTTTCCCATCACGGTCAAATGGGTCCGTCCATAATGTCATAAATCAAATAATAAAAATAAATAAAATACAAAGAAAAAAATAAAAATTGGTCATGTCTCTAATATTATAATAAGTATGACAAATGAGAATTGTTATTGTTGAGGATGAAAATGGTTAAAAACACAAAAATTCAATTGAATGATCATTGTTGAAGCCCATGTTTTTTTTTTTGCAGGTAAACGGTTTGGGGGCTAAATGAAGTAATGAACCTACAAATCTGACTGGTTGATAAGTCAATCGGTAGATTCAACAATGGAATGGATTGAAAACATCGACTTCGACAATCAGAATCACTTAATTGGGATTTGGGAAAATGGTCCTATGTTTTACAGATAGCACAGCTAACATGTACTTGGGAACTGAATACGTTGGCAATTCAGAATTTCAGAGGGTCTTTTATGTCAGGGATGGTATTTGACCCTGGAGGCGGAGGAGCATATTACTTATTGCCGCCCAAATGATCCGTTCAACATTTTTTTTTTTTTTTGCTTTGATATGGTCCTATACACGGTGGGTAGAGAGTGGGTAGGAAAAGTGAGTAGAAATGTCGAATGCACAAAGGAAATGTGATTTAGGCCAGTCATGCGTGTAAGAGGCATTTTTTATGGGACCCATTGAATAAAAAATGTTTCACCTACGTGCATACCTATTATGAGAACAGGTTATCGTTCCCCTAGAGCATATACATCAATGGAATATTAACTTATTTATAATAAAAATCTAAGGCTGCAACGTACAATACATAAGTGCTAAAGGCTCTTTTTGTTCGAAGAGCAAATTTGAACTGCATGAAAACTTTTATCTAGTTCAGATTCGCATAAAGTGGAGATCACATCAATTTACTTTCTATTTGATTCCTCCCCAGCAAAAAAGCTTCCATCTCCTCGATTCTTTTTCATATAAAAAAAAAGTAGGGATCACACCATTTTATTTCCAATTTTACTCCTCGGAAAGCTCATTTATGAGAGGCTCCTTCTGCAGTGGTGTCAATGCATGGGAGTGCAAATGGGCCAAGTATAAATTCTGGTTTACTTCCGCATCAGGTGACTGTTTTTGTCTGTTGCGAGTAAAATGAGAAGTAAATGATGTTATCCCCAGTTTATAACTTTATGTGAAAGAAAAAAAAAAGGCAACAAGAAGTTTGTTTTTGAGGAGTAAAAGAGGAAGTAAAAATAATTCCACCTTGTATGAGATAAATAAAAAGTTTGCACTGCTAATGAGTACAAATGAGATAAAAAGTACAACTTTTGCATCTGATAGAAACAAATGATTGCAAATATGAACTAGGGGTGATCATGGGCCGGGTCAGGCTGGGCTCAGCAGTTATAAGGGTTATAGATCAAGCCCAGTTTCCTGACCTATGAGTTTTATTTATTTATGAAGGAAATCCAGGTCCCTCAGGAACTGACAGTGTTTTCAGGAATGATGAAGAGAAAGTTATTTCTCTCTACTCTCCAATTGGGGTGGGTGACTTGTTAAGGGCTGAAATGTTGGCTGGATATCAATAAGCTGTCAATTGAAAGGGATTCAGGAAGAGGAGATTGGACGGTAGGACTATATTTATGAGAAAAGAAGAATTTTGTAGCTTTTACAAGGAACGGAAGTAAGTTTTCAATGAGTGAAAAGAGATGCTAACTCTTTTGCTGAAACTTTGGCCAAACAAGGGGTGTGAAAAAACCGGTTGTTTTGGGCATTGTTGTAATCCCCATCCAGTTTGGGAGAGCTAAGAGAGTTTAGCTCCCTTCTTCATCTATGTACCTCTTTCTGTTTTATTGATCTTAATGTATCTGATATAAAAAAAAAAAATTGTATTTATTTTTGAAATATTAAACATATGTGATATAATATATCCATAAAATTTATATTCTACATTATATAACATATTATCAAGGTTTTTAAAACTGACCCGGATAATAAACCGGTTAGGGGTTCGGTTCTTGGGTCGAATGGTCCAATTGCTCGAACCGAACGATCGGCCCCGTTCTGACAAAAAAATTAAAAAAAAAAATTGAAAGTGGTCAAAATCGTTGAATGGTTCAACCACTCGGGTCTGTGATTTATTGACCAAATCAACATTTTTTTAACAAAAATCCGGTTTTGGTGAAAAACGAAATCGATCACTTGACTGGTTCCTGGTTTTTCCAGTCTGATAGTCCGGTCCGGTTCGGTTTTGAAAACCATGCATATTATATATAGGACAGGATGGACCAGGCGCTGAATTTCTAGGCCATGTCTGAAAATGATCACTAATCTATCTGAACCAAGTGCAAAATTTGCATCCGATTCATATTTGCACCGAAAACAAACTGAGCTAAAGAAAAGTAAAGGAGAATGGCCGCATGACACTCTGAAGATCTTTCCCTAAATAAATAAGAGACGTATTATGATATCTGAAAAGCATGATAGCTGAAAATCTTTTTCAGATAACCATTCAACAGGTATCATACCTTTTCGGCATCATAGATATTGCCATAATGCCATTACACGTACACATGAAGACAAGTCTACAGGAGAAGATCACTTACAGAATTTTAGTTGGATTTGTATCTAGGCTAAGACTAAGAGATCCCAAAAGTGGGACCAGTTAAATGGTGGGTGGGTCATTCTTGCATGTGCACTACGTGACAATAAGGTGTTTAGTGGACCATGATAATGGTATCATGTCCACCTGATAAACAGAGACGCCTGCTATTTCCCTCTTTTTCTTAATAAATTTGCATGAAATAATCAGATCCAGATCACATCATAGAAGTTCAGACACCTGCAATTTTCCTCATTTTCCTTTTCCTTTTAGAAAGAGTAATCTGATAAACTACAAGTTATGCTTATAAATTAGAGGATAAAAAAATATATATAGTATCAGCAATAAACAAATAAACAAAGTGAATTAAAAGTTCTCTTTCAGAGTAAGAGGCATGTAAACTAAATATCATTTGCTTTGCTTTTCTCAAAAGTAATAAGATGCAAACAAAAAGAAACCAGAAACTCTTAAATAATTTTTCTCTTGATCTTCCTCTCTTTTTATTCCTGTTGGTTCCCATTCTAATCTGAAGTGGAGAAATAGAAAGACCAAGGAAAACAAACTTTTTATGGTTGTATAAATGAAAGCACGACAAGCCAGTGGAGCTCTGGGAATTCAGAACCAGATTAAGACAGGAGCCCGATCTTCATATTTATAGAGATTTAAAGCTCTGTATGACAAAAATTGCAAGTTATCTCTCAACAATATAACTAGGATATGTTGATTCTTGTATTTCAGAAACTAACTTTAACATTAAGATTGGGTAAGATCTTCAACTATATACGGCTTTAGTTCTAAACCAAGAATAATTCTTCTGAAGCAATACAGACAGTATGTGATTAAACAACACGAAGATCAAAAGGGAGTCATATAATAAAGAAGTAAACAAGTGATATTGCTTACCATTGCAGAGCTAGATTCTGATAGTTCAGCTTCGGTTGTCATTGTTGATGCAGTTGGACTGCTTCAGATCAAGGTGAGATGGTCTGGACTCTCAACGACTTTCCTTTGATAGTGATGAACTCCAGAAGTAAGCTTAATGTGTAGGATTCTTCATATCCCTGGTTGTGCTGAAAAATCCTTGAAGCTATACTGGGGTGAACTCTAAAGTAGGCAGAAGTGACAAAATGCCACTTGTTATATAACCACCATTCTGAGTATTGGCCAGATAAGCAATGGTCATCCTATTCATGGATCATTTGCTCCTGTGGTTTGATACAAATTTCCTTGGAAATTTCAAATTACAAATAGGAAGAAATAGACATAGCAATTATTGTTGGGAAAAAATTTTCTTGTTTTCCCTTTGGCTGTAAAAGAAGGTTATTGACAATCACATATGGAACAACTTTTTTGTCAGGAGGCCATCTAAAGCTCTGGCTTGTTGGGCCCTTTCTAGGATAAAAAAAAATAAAAAAAAAATGGAAGTTTTACTTTGGACATTGTTGACAATTCAAGCTCCCCCTGGCAAAATACAGCGTCGTCCTTGACTGCTATTAGAATATCTAAACGCCCAGGAACAGAAAGACACCTTAATTATTTTTTCAGTAGCGTTTTTTTTTTTCTGATAGATATTTGTTCAGTGATTAGTCTCCTGATGTAAAACTTGCTTATCTTTCAAAAGTGGGTATATTTATATGAAAATTTCAGGTTTTTTTCCCCATGCATGGGTGTATCTGTCTTTCTAGTTTCTTGGGTGGGATTATATTTAATTTGTTTTGGTGTCCAATTATTAATATTAATGCCCATTCTATATTACTGTGAAAATATTAATAGTTAAGTATGATATATGAATTAGCTTTAAATAAATGAAATAAATAAAGAGGAAAATGTCAAAAAAAAAACAATCAGGAATATGTTGAAAGGATTCAAGTTTTGTTAGTTTCTAAAGAATTCAGGCCAAGTGTATGTATATTCTTGGATGACAATAATGACTTGGTGATGACATTGATATTCAACGAATTGGATGCTAAAGACATCTAATATCAGTCCATTTCGAGAGTCTCAGCCTACTAAAAATATTTTTTAACATTATCAACTGTGGCCACTGCAAGGAATAAATGGTCCCATGAACCCAGGAACTTCCTCCATTAATTTAAAACTCAACAGGTGCATCACAACCAAAGTTGATGTTATGGGTCCAATAAAGTTTTGAAGATTTCCCCTTGTTTTGAAACAATAAAGAGAATCTAGAATGAATGGGTTTTACTTGTTTCCTCATATTTCCTTCAATTTTATTCATTTTCTGATCGACTAGTATAATTAAAGAATGATTCATCAAACTTCCAGATTAGACCAGTTTTTCTTTTTCTCTCTTTGATCATACCAAATCAAAACTCTGTTTTCATTAGTTGCAGTTAAGTTTTGATTTTCAATCTGTGGACTATACTGAACGAGGATAGGTTTAATTTGGTTTTATATTCTTCCAACTGGTGGGGGGGATTTCCTGGGAGAGCTTAGCTGGCGATCCCAGATATGTCCACATTTGCCACCTCACCGTTTGTGTGCCAATTTTGACACCAATTAATAACTCTTTGTCAAGTTGCTGGTGGGAAATAAATATTTTCCGCACGCCGTGACCACCAGAATGAACCGCTGAGACGAACAACAGGACAGTACATATGACCAGTGCAGTGAGGATCACTGATCAGATGGGTGGTCTGGTTCATGGTTGCCAAATTCTCTAGACCTTCCTATGAAGTATGAACTATGAATTGATTCACCATTAACTAACTCATGATTCATTAAGTACTAACAGATAAGAAACTCTGGTCTGGATTTTGCAGTGTAAATTAAATTACAAGTGAAGAATATTCTAGGCGGTCCGTCAGAAAATAAAGAAGAAGAAAAAAAAAAAACTTTTGTTTTCCCTTTCAAATCAGCATTTCCGAAAAAGGTGATGAAGTCGTAGAACTTTAGACATGCAGAAGAATATGGAAAGAGATATGTTTTGTCTTTATAAGATATGAGTTATTCCATTAAACTGTGATTATTATCCTGGTTGCCATCTTTTCCTTTATCAAATCTCTCTCTCTCTCTCTCTGAGCCCTTTATCAAATGTCAGTCACATGGCCTTTACCCTCAATAATTAAATTGTAGAATCTAAGTTAAGGCTACTATTAACCAGTACATGTGTTGATGCATAGAAGCTGTTGGATGACCCCATCACATCACCACATCCTTGGATCAATTGCTTCGGTTGCAAAATTCAAATCAAAGGTTTTATACTTTTATATTGGTAGAAAATTCAAATCAAAGGTGGGTTTTAGTGTTTTTTAGAGGAAAATGGAGTACATGGTTGTGGCTAAAAACGAAATATTTTTCATATCAACAAGCATAAAATAGAGTTGAACTTTTCTTTTCTAATTTTATAGTGCATAATGAGACAAATTGAAAGAAAGTATTGCAGAGCTGGCTAGCTAAATGGCTAGGACAGACATGAGGCATGGATGGGTGGCAAAATGGAACAAATTGAAAGAGAAGAAAAATAGAAAATCAAAATCGCCGACCAAAATAATTTGGTCTTGTCCTCCTTCGCCGCCCCTTACGTGGTGATGAAATGACCACCCCCACCCCCACCCCCCACTTAATTCCAATCTCCATCATGTTGGTTTTTTATTCAGAAATTATTCTTTACGTATTATAATCGGAAAAGGAGGCTCTCACCTTCTCTTTCCTATCCTTACCATTAATTATTGTTCTCCTTTTTTCTTATCTAATTAATTAATTTATTAAAAATAGCTAAAATAGACCAGACATTGCCACTTTACTTTACATTGTAGGTGGTACTCTTATTCTTCTTCTTTATATGTTTTCAGTTTAGAATGACTAAAATACCCAAATGGAATGAACGATTTGCCTTTCATTCCTACCGGTGCTGGGATTCTATTTTAGGATCCGTTTGGTTTGTAATGGAATTGGAATGATCTATTCTCATAGTCTGTTTGATTCAGATAAGAATGAGAATGAAAATGGGAATCAATAGAAATGAGATTTTATTCCCAAAAGAGGAGTATAGAATAGGCCATTCCCTCGAATGGCAGAAGACCATTCCAGCAAGAATAAGAATGAAATTCCAATTATACCCAATCAAACAGTTGGGAACCAGAATAGCTCATTTCGATTCTAATTTCAGACCTCTATTCCCATGAACCAAACAGGGCCTTAATTGTTTATTTCCTTAAGAATTGTTTAAAGACAAGTCACAAAAATTATGATTGATGGCCGGGAGAAATGTACAAAATATGGATTTGGGTGGTGGCCGCCTGTGCCTGGCCGGTGGGAGAAGGTTTTAGTTTTTTGTTTGTCTACTTGAGAAGGTTAGTATCTAAGTTTTGATAAACCAAACAACCGCTTTATATAATGTGAATTGTGAGGTCATAAATCATAATGGGTATTTTAACATGTTTTATAATATGCCCATAGATCAATCTCCTAAAACAAAACAAGGGTATGTAGAGATGATAATCTTGATTAATAGTTGGTTCTTCATGAGTTGTTTATAGTACTGACTACTGAGCACAGCAGGGACCCATGTGGAAAATCATGTAAGACAAACAGAAAAAGATCGTAGTCGTCCAAATTAAAGCTAGGGTTCCTAGTCAAGACTGATAAAGACAACACCACCACTCCATGATGCGTCTCACGGCCGGCCGGCGTGGCTATTCGTCATCTCCCTTACTTATTTGCCGGTGTCCTCTTGGGGCGGTAAATGATAGCGCTGCACCGGCACCGCCCATCTGCCCAACCGACCCCACCGGCCTTGTGGGTTGTGTGGGGATTGAGGCCGATGTGGTGAGACCATGCTAGAGCGAGAAATGATCATGTTGGATATAGAAGATGAAGTGCAATATTTGAATACGATTGAAGTAACTGGGCATGGAATCTTTATGTACGAGTGCACGCAGTTCAAATTGTACGTCTTGTTTAATTATGCTTGCTTATCTCTATCTCTAGCAATAACCAAGGGAGTCCTCCCTCATATATAGACAGTCGTCATAGAGCTACCTTCTTCTTCTTTAGTGTCGTCGTCTCTCTCTGAGACTGAGACTGAGAGTTCCTTCATCCCTTGCTAGCTAGTGTTTTACCTGAGATAACAGAATTCGATCGAGTTCATTCAAAAGTCTAAGATTAGGACCGCAGGCTTACCTTTCAAGTTAACTACTCCCACTCCACTTCCCACAACAACTATACGTTGAACCGTTGGTTGGACCAAGATAACCTCTCTCTCTCAACACAAGATTGTCTAATGGAATTAGAATATGTAAGTCGATAGAGTTCCTGCACTAGGTCACGTCTAGGTGGTACTCAGAATTCAGTACTGCTAATGTTTCTTGCACATGTTCTTTGCTAGGTGGGGCCCGGATTGCCTACCCAACTTCAACTCTCCATTCTACTGACCCTATTATAAATAAGATCATTGGGAGTTGAGTCTTGTTCAATAACTGTGGGAAGATATTGATAGGGGTGCAAATGGATCGGATCATCCGACATTCGATCCTATTTGGTGGAAATAGGATCACCCCGATTTTCGCATCGGATTTGGATCATCTCTTTTGGATCCGAGAAGATTCGATCAAACGTGTTATATATTTATAAATATAAATATAATATATATATATATGTTATTTATTTATTTATTAATAAATATATTATTTATATTGTATTCTTTATAAATTTGTTATATTATTATTTTTTTTTATAAAAAGCATGTATGTATATGATGAAAATAATTAAAAAATACTTATTTTTTGTTTTTTTTCTTTATTTAAATTCATATATTTTATTTTTTTCTTTTAATAATTTATTAATTAAAAAAAAAACAAGTTGGGCTAAATCAGATTCGAAGATCCGATAGGATTCAGATTCAGATGGAGTCCTATCAGATTTGATTGGATTTTTGGATCAGATCGAATCCGACATAAACAATGTCAGACCGGATTCGAATATACCCTTATTCGAATCCAATCCAATCCGTTCCTAGAAGCCCCTTAAAACATTTTTCCTAAGGCTATGTTAAGGAAGAAAAGCATGTATAAACCTTGTATAGGTTTCTCTGTCTTTCCCTTTCTTTTTTCCTACCTTTTTGTAATTGATAAAATAATATTTTTGAATTGCAGGTCCAAGATTTAAGTTTAAGATATCAGTATTTTTTGGGCTTTTCTTTTAAAGAAAAGGAAAAGCTAAGATATCAGTAATTTAACTTTGAGATCTTGAGATGTATAGTGCCTAAGTGCGGATGATAAATAACCTTCGCCCTTCAGAATCCATTCTAATACTAAATGTAACATTTTACGCTTTTGACACTAATAAATTCAA